AGCCCGATCCTTTGCAAGAAATGAAGCTATCATATTAATGGAACCTGGAGGATAAGAACAAATGGCAAAATGATGGGTTAACTTTACGGATTCTTAAAAGAGAAGTAGGGGTTTCTTTTTCCCCCCCCCCATTTATACTTATCTAGGTGGATGCAGTATCGGTCCAATGCTGCATCTGTCCCCCGCTGGCTCTACGTGTGACATGACCGCTGATCACTGAGTTCTCACAGCAGCTCTGAGCAGAGAGCGGTGATTGTCAATCACCGCTGTCTGCTCCCCCCCCCCATGCTCACTGGATTGCTGGGATTTGGAGGGGGCGGGGGGACCGGCTGGCTCAGGCTCTCGGTGACTCCTGTGGGCTCCTGTGTGATCCACTGGAGAAGTACAGCCAAAAGATCTTTGGCTGTACTTCTCCTTTAATGCAAAGAGTGGCACCAAAGTCTTAATGTCAGCGTTATCTAGGACCTCCCACCACCATAAGAGGAAGGGAAACCACTGCATCTCAGAACAAGATAAAAGACATCAGAAAATGGAATGTAAAAAAATAAATGTATAAAATACCACTGGGGGTTTCTGATGCACGTGTTACCCCACTGTCTGATCTTGCATGTAACATATTCTAAGTTTTAATATTACCTTTTCGGCTCGGCTAATACTTGGGGAGGTGATCCATTTTAACTTTTTATTGCCTATATACTCTACTGTCACGCAACCCATTACCCCCCCCATATTAAAAATTTTTTTTTTTTTTTTAAATCCCACCTACCATCTCATCCTACATCTCTTTTTCTTGCTGTTCTTCTTTCTGACCTCTCTCTATTTTCACACCTGTTATACCACCTTATCAGTCATTCTTCACCAACCAAATATAGTGTATTCACCTTCACGCAGATATGACTAACTGCAACTATATTATACACTTAGGCTATAAACACGTAAACCATGACTTTAACAACATTTAATGCCTTCTATGCTCAAATCTTCATATCACCTCATCATTAAGAATTGCTGATACTCAAGACGACACGACATACACCTTCAGTGATGTACCTACTTTCCTCTACGTATCCAATGGTTTGAATTGTATGCTTGATGTATTGTTCTACACCACATTTCTTTGTATTACAGTTTACACTAAGTCCCGTCTGCGAAACGGGAAGCAATATGTCATGTCTGTGTTCTGACTGTGCTTTATAGCTTTATATGCTCTATATGCTATCTTGTCTATTCTTATTTTAATAAAATATTTTTGGAAAAAAAAAAATACCACTGGGGGACCTCAAGGAGGAAGGGATGTCTATGGAGGGAGAGCGTGAAACTTAATTTGAATTCTATGTTATAATGTATCCAAACCAATTTGAGCAAGTAGATTTGAATAAAGATTTTAGACACCTGGGGGAACACACTAGATAAGCAAATTAGGGCATGGTGGGATGTTTTGACTTTAGAGAAATATACTAGGGAGGGAATCACACCTAGGCGGTTAAGATGGGAAGTAGCATCAAATGATGGTCTTTTTGGGAAAGAACTAGATGAGGAATGGTTTTCCTTCTTTAATCACGTGGAAAAAAAGCTCTTGGAATGTATTATTTCGAGGAGAAAAAAGAAATTAAAATCCCTGGATGAAAAAATCCACGTGTTAAAAGAAAAAATAGTTCCTTTTGCCAACACCATTATTGTAAAGAAAAAATGCAACATCTACAAGAATACATCAAGACGGTAGATGAGGATACGCAAAAAAAAGAAAATCAAAAAATATTGTAGAGACATACAGGATCACAAACATAACATGGTGTATAAAAGGCAGGAAGAAATTATTAAAGGCAATACTGATTCTAGGGCATCAACAGAAGAGAGGGATAATGATAAGGATTATCCACAGACTCCCTCATCTCAGACTAAAAAGGATACTCACATTCATATCCCTGAGAGGAAGGAAAAATCACCTATGATGTATAAGGGGGGAGGGAATTATCAGGGAAGAACCTCACAGTATGATGTATCCACTAATAACAGGTTTGACCCCTTGAGAGGTTGGCAACAATCCCCATCACGAACTTACTCCCACCCTCAGTGAGGGGATTTTATAAGAAGAGAGTATGGATCACCACCATGGAGGGGAAGGGGTGGCCCCCAAAGCAGGGGAAGGGGTGGACCTTATTTTCCCCCATGCAGAGGAAGGGGGGGATGGAGACCAGATCCACCCATGGCACATACAGGCCCATACATGAGAAACATGGAAAGAGAAGAAGGGGGTGCAGAGGGCGGAAGAGGAAAAAGAAAAAGGGAGACCTAAATCAAGGCATTTTCAACCTCAGTGAGCATCAGTTCACCGAGGAGGAACTAAGGGTGTTCTCTTTGGGACTTAAATTTGCCCCAGATAAACAATTAGACAGATTGGAAATGTATGTGGATTTTCAGAAGTTTATTAGAAAACTCAACATTAAAAATTATTGGGATAAAAAAGTTAATTGTCGAGTTAGGGATGATGGTCCCTATGTACACACTAACTTAATAAATAAATCAATTTTAATCCAAGATTAGTAATATTGTTGTGTAGACACTTTAAAAAAAATGGTCAAGCATGATCTTGAACCCCTTATTATTTCTCATGTGAGACCAAAGAAAGATCTAATACAAGGTTTAATACAAATTGAGAAGAACAAAGACATTGTAATCAGGCCAGCTGATAAACGAGGTGGAGTGGTAATTATGAATAAGAAGGACTATTATGAGGAATTGAATAGGTTTGTAGGGGATATAGAGACATACGAGGTGCTTAAAGAAAATCCCACTAATAAGTATAAAGCAAAGTTGAAAAAATTTGTAAATTTAGGTGAAAAAGAGTGATTTCTTAATAAAAAAGAGAGTAGGTATCTGGTTCCCTATGCTTCAATTACTGCAGTCATTTATCAATTACCAAAAATTCATAAAGATGTGGCCAAACTGCCAGGGAGGCCTATAGTCAGTGGGGTAGATTCCCTTTTTGCCAGAGAGGGTGAATATCTTGACAAATTTTTGCAACCTCTAGTACAAGAGTTTCCAGCCTATTTTAGAGATAGCAGTGATCTTAGTAATATTCTCAAAGGAGTTGAGGTTGGTGCTAATTGTGTGTTGGCAAGCATAGACGTCAATTTCTTATATACAAATATTACACAAAAAGATGTAATAGAGGCGGTTGAGTGGTCTTTGAAGAAAAAATAATTAACTTAATAATAGACAGGGAGAATTCTTATTGCAAACCCTGGATTTGGCTATGAGCCATAATTTTTTTTGGCATGATGGCAAATTTTACAGGCAGAAAACCAGTGTTGCAATGCGTGCTAAATATGCACCCTCTGTTACTAATGTGTTTATGAGTAAATGAGAACATGAATCGATATTTAACAATAGGAGATCAGAGCTTAAATTGTATAGAAGGTTCATAGATGACATCTGCATTGTATGGGAAGGAACGCAGGAATCTCTGGAGGAATTCATTAGAAGTTTGGGGACTAATCAATATAACATCTCATTCACTGCAAATCTTAGCACTCAGTCAATTGATTTTTTAGATTTAACCATTTTCAAACAGGGGGTTAAACTTTGTACAAGAACTCATTTTAAAAAAGTGGATAGGAATGGTTACGTTCCTAAACACAGTTGTCATCATCAGGGATGGTTGAAGGCTATCCCTAGAAGTCAGTTTGTAAGACTGAAACGAAACTGTGACAATGAAGTTGATTTTGAGAATCTATCAAATGTTCTAATGCAGAGATTAGAGGAAAAGGGGTATCAAACACATAGCCTTAATAAGATCAGGGAACAGGTGAGGAATATGAACAGAGAGGAATTATTGGTGAAGAGGGATAAGAAAGTGGATAAATTCGACTTAGCCGTCATCACGGGTTTTTCTAGGCAATATAAAGTCATGGAGGGAATTATTAGGAAGCCGATTTTATTACAAGATGATATACTAGGTAAAATGTTACCCAAGGGACCTTGATTCATTTATAAAAACCACCCACCCTAAGAACCAAACATGTAAAAAATGTTCCGTATCCACCTTTAAAAAGGATGCCCTTTCTTGATCAGGTGTTTTTTTTAAATGCGGTAGATGTTTGGCCTGTAGGAATATGAAAGAGGACCTTAATACAAAAAATTGTACACAATTTCAGTCGCAGAGTAGTGGGGAAGTGTTTAATATTTGGAAATTTTTATCTTCTGGAAGTACCTTTGTAATTTACCTTTTAGAGTGCCCGTGCAACTTACAGTATGTGGGGAGAACCACTAGAAAATTGTCTACTAGATTGGGAGAACTCATTAGAAATTTAAAAAAAGGGGTTCAAACATCACAGTTTATCCAATCATTTTAGGAAGTTTCAAAATAAGGATCCGTCTGTCTTGAGATTTTGTGGAATTGATAGGGTGGAAACCCACTGGCGTGGGGTTAATTTGATCAGATCAATCTCAAAAAATGAAACGAAATGGATTCTGTCATTAACCACCTTCCGCCCGCCATATAGTACAATGACGGGCGCAAGGTGGTTCTCTCGTTCTGATAGGACGTCATATGACGCCGGTGGTCGCCGGTGCGCTGTGTCCCTCAGACACAATGGATCACGGAAAGAGCCGAAGATGTCGGCTCGGTCATGTGATCAGCTGTGTCCAATCACAGCTGATCACATGTAAACACGGAAATGCCGGTTATCGGCATTTCTCTCCTCTCGAGCTGTTACGCTGACAGCTCAAGAGGAGAGGAGAGGAGAGCCGGTAATCGGCTTTCCACGGAGGGGACATGTACACTGATCATCAGGACACTGATGATCAGTGTGCCCTGATGATCAGTGTAGCCCCAGCAGTGCCACCTGTCAAAGTCCATCAGTGCCAGCAGTCAGTGCTCATCAGTGCCACGTGCCAGTGCCCATCAGTGCCACATCAATGCCACATAGTGCATACCAGTGCACATCAATGCCAAATATCAGTGCCCATGTAAGCTGCCTTTCAATGTCACCCATCAGTGCCAGTCAGTGCCACCTATCAATGCAAATCAGTGACACCTATCAGTGCTGCCAATCAGTGCCGCCTGTCAGTGCCAGTCAGTGTCGCCTATCAGTGCCGCCTATCAGTGCCAGTCAGTGCTGCCTATCAGTGCCAGCCAGTGCCGCCTAACAGTGCCAGTCAGTGCCAGCCTAACAGTGCCAGTCATGCCAGTCAGTGCTGCATATCAGTGCTGCCTATCAGTGCCATATATCAGTGTCATGTATCAGTGCTGCCTTTCAGTGCCCATCAGTGAAACCTACCAGTGCCTCCTCATCAGTGCCCATCAGTGCCACCTATCAGTGTCCATCAGTGCAGCCTATCAGTGCCCATCACTGCAGCCTCATTAGCGCACATCAGTAAAGGAGAAAAATCACTTATTTACAAAATTGTATAACAAAAACTAAGAAAAAACTTTTTTTTTTTTTCAAAATTTTTAGTGGTTTTTGGTTTGTTTAAGAAAAAATAAAAATCCCAGAGGTGATTAAATACCACCAAAAGAAAGCTCTATCTGTCTAAAAAAAATGATAAAAATTTCATATGGGTACAGTGTTGCATGACCGTGCAATTGTCATTCAAAATGTGACAGCGGTGAAAGCTGGAAAATTGGCCTGGGCAGGAAGGGGGTATAAGTGCCCTGTAGGCTAGTGGTTAAAGACATTGACCTCCTAAAGGGCTCAATGTTAAAATTGATTTAAATTGTTTTTTATCTGATTGGCAGTTTTTTTTATTGTCCCCCATTTATAGGGATGGATGGATGAGTCCATTATCCTTTTTAGGGAATAAATAACACTATGGGGTACATTTAATTTAGTTTATTGAGTTGTTTTTATATTTAAATGTAATATGTTTTTATTTTTACATGTATTATGTTTTTATATTTCTATGTATTATGTTTTTTATACTGATAAATATTATTATTGAATTTGTATTAATTATGATTAAGGATACATTCATCATCTCTGGTGAAACTCGTGGTGTGTGAACAATATGTTTGCATAGGTTCTATGTCATAGAGATTTGTGTTGGTTTTATTTTGTTTATTATATATTGTTAATTTTAATTTAATTTCATTTTATTGTTTATTATGAAAGGGGACCCGATAGGTAAACATACTGGCAGCGTATTAATGACTATTTGGCATTGTGGGAAGGTTGGATATTTCCCTATTTGTCCCTGATTTACCATAAGTAATCCTGATTGGTTAATTCGTAGGTGGGAGGCACGCCAGTGTAATATATAAGTGATGAGGAACCGGAGATCTAGGTCTTTGATACCGCCCTGGAGGAGGGGTGAAACGTGTCAGACAGACTTACTTCCGGCTTCCTATGTTGAATGTGTGACGTCATATACGGTGCTGACAGTTTGGTTTACTTTCTGGAATCCATTTTACACTCAAGTCTGTTTTGGAGGATTTTGTCAATTGGTGACTTATTTTAAGTTATAATTTGAATAGATTGAGCACTATTTTATTCAATTAAAAGTCTTTGCAATATTTCACTATTGGATCTCCTTTGTCTTCCTATATAACACATCATTATGAGGGGAAATCCCTTTTGAAGTTGGATGTAAGGAAGCTCTTGTATATGGAGGAGGCTATGGAGAGGAAATTTTACCTGGGAATTGGAGGATATTATTGTATCCATAAAGTGCAATTTATTCTTATCCCTGGTGAGTGCAGAATACATTAGTATTCACAGGAAGATGTGGATCCATGGAGTCTTTTCTCTGTATTACACTTATCCTAAAAAAATTTTTGGAGCACTATTTGCATGTTTAAAGGGGACTTTGTTTGTTTTTTGGTTTCATTATTTTAAAGTATTTGGACACAAATTTTATATTTTTTTCATTTTGTTGGTTTTGGACATTTATTTTATAGCCACGGAATTTATTATGATTTATGCATAATTATTTTTTTTTATTCATTTCATGTTTTGCACTGTTTTATTATTTCACTGATTTTTTTATTTTTTATCAGTCTTTTTGATTCATATCAAGGCACAGCAGCATTCACTTTCAAATTTTTCACATAGTTTTTGTGGCGCAGGTTGTTTTTGTTTTAGTTGAATTTTATATTATACAATTAATACAGTATATCCAGTTAATCATGATGTATCCAAAACAATTAATATTAAAACTATACTCATTACAAAACAAAAATATAGCTTTAGCTATCCATAGTGAAGAATTTATTAATCTACCCTGCAGGGTATCATACAATACACTCAAGATTTGAATGAGACACATTCAATAATATTCTCTGTATGCACATGTAGTTATATATGCTTTCAATAAAGCTATCATCACACCATGAGGCAGGGGCGGACTGACAACTCATGGGGCCCCCCGGGCAATAGGGGATCATGGGGCCCCTGTGTCCTTGCCCAAACTCAAAAAAGCCTATGAAAAAGGTACCAGGGGCACCTCATGGGGCCCCCTACTGACCCCGGGCCCTCGGGCAGTGCCTGAGTTTCCAAATGGTCAGTCCACCCCTGCCATGAGGCCTTCAAAAAGGAACCTTACAATATACTCGCAATAGGTACATTTTAGAATGGAAGGAACTGTAATCCAAGGATCCTGAAATATAACATTCTAACATATTGAAGCAGGAATCATTTTCATGTGCACACAATTACATACACTTTCAATGACTGGAAGACAGCTGCCTCAGAATAGCACCTGCCAATTGGCATCCATCAATGAAATTTCAAAGTAGCACAGATCCCAGACTGGACTGGCTAATTGATCCCAGGTTCTATTCCCTTATATGCACATGGCAGCCAGGAAATCTGTAGTTCACAGTCACTTAAGTCAGAAAACAGACAGCGCACGTCTTTTTGCAATTTATTTGCTGGTTTAACTTAGATGAGGTGAGGGTGAAAATTGGGATAATCCACAAACAACTAGCAATGAAGCAACAAAGGACACTAAAACTCATCTGCTCCTTCAGGGTGTAGCACCCTCTTGAATGTGAAGGTTAAATGAACTTCAGTGCAGGAACTCCTCAACAGGAGTATATTTATCTATTACAGGTACTTATATAACGTTGTCAATTTATGCAGCACACTATATATATATATATATATATATATATATACAGTATATAAATATACATATTGTACATTCATATCAGTCCCTAACCCTCAAGGGGCATACAATCTAAAGTCCCTAACTCACATTCATACACACACATACTAGGGACAATTTAGATAGGAGCTAATTAACCTACCAGTATGTCAATGATGGACATCAATACCAATTTTGTTGAATTCGTTTTTATATAAGTTTACTGAAGAAATACAATGTACATTGGATCACAGAGCATACAGAGTCAATGTGATACAGATAGATACATTGGTGGATGTTTTATAAGAAACCTTCAACATGGTTTTCAATCTAGGGCATAAATCCAAATCACGAGAAATTCCTAACTAATTGTCTCAATACGAGATGTGGTCACACTGACCTATTGGACACAAGTAATGGTTACTTGCCATAATAACTCAACCGATGATTATGCAAAAAGGGACTTTTTAGTAAAATAGTGATTTCTGAGAAATGTTCTTGACAATGTTCAGTCAACCAATTCTGGAAAAGTGAAACCACAGATGTCCCAACAATATCAAGATATATAAGGTTACAAAGGTTATAAAATACCAGAAGAATTCAAGAACAGAAAAACAAGTGCAGAAAAACAGTTATAGAGGAACTCTTGATATATGAATGATATGATGATCTGACTCCATATTGTTCACATCTTAACAGGAGGAAACCAGAGTACCCAGAGGAAACCCACGCAGGCACAGGAAGAACATGTAAACTTCAGTGCTGCATTATTTTGTGTCTTTTTTTTATCTGCATATAAAGCTTTATGGAGTAAATCATGTTTAAGGTTTATAAAACCAGTCACATAGCCTGCAGTGAGTTACTGCAATGGAAATGCTATCAAGTACTGTGGAATATAGTGTTATATAGTACTATGGAAACTGGGTCTATCCACTTAAAAAATAATCTTTTAAAATTCCAAGAGCCAGTCCACTCCATACATTATATCAAGAGAGAGAGACATAACTATATTCTGTGAAAATTCATCCCAAATAGAGAGCTTGTTAATGGCACAACTAGTAATGGCATCCATGCATATGCATAGTCTTCAATACTTATTGCATCTCAATCCATCAGGATGCCTTTAAAGCCTTTAAGAATAAGAGAGGATTGGAATCCTTTTGAGCACTTATTAGGTACATGGGTAGATGGGAAACAAGGAACCTCTAAAATATATAAGATTCTCACTGAAATAAACGCATATATAAGTCCTCCATATATAGAAACATGGGAAAGAGAAATAGGAGTTACAATAGATGCGGAAAAACAGAAGAAAATGTATAGAAATCCATGGAAATATAAATATGCAGGAGGTAGAAATGAATTATAAGCGTTTGGCAAGATGGTATATCACACCGAGTGTGGCACACAGATTGAGTGAAGATAATTCACCTTTATGTTGGCGTGGATGTGGAGGTAGTGGCACAATGTATCACATATGGTGGGAGTGTTTCTAAAATACAAGAGTATTGGGGGAAAATAGTAAGCTTGATTCAGAAAATTACAGAGGTTGATATTCTAGTAGACCCAGAGATTTGCCTTTTTCATAGTACTAAGCTTTCAGTTAAAAAATACAAAGAATCTGGTTTATTGTACTATTTGAATTCAGCAAAGTGACTGATACCCAATGACCATTATAGACAATAAAGAAGCATTAAGTGGCTTTTCTTTAAATTTTATTTAAAGAGGAGCTCCAATCATATTTTTAAAAAGTCAGCAGCTAGAAAAACTGAAGCTGCTGACTTTAATTAAACAGTCACTCACCTGTCCCAGAATTCAGCGTTGTGTTCACCTGAGCCATTTTCACCACCCATCTTTGGTCCATAGTGCCAGCTGTGGGCAGCTAATGGCTTTACAGTCAGACACCCACTTTTGCATGCATGAGCTGGGCTACACATTATGAATGGTCCTGCAGTCTTCTGGGACCTGTGACGTATCCCAGAAAACTGTGGGGTGGAGAACTTCTGCTCAGATCGCCTAGGCGGTCTGAGCGGAAGTGGGACTGGTTTTGACAGGTATAATGACTGAGGTACTGTATAATAATTGAGCATTTTAAACAAGGCAGAACCTTGATGAATTATGGGAGGTACCAACAAAAATGAAAAACTAACTTGCCTTAAAAAGGATCTTCACCCTAGAAAGAAAAAAAAAAATGAAAAGTCTGCAGCTAAGAAAAGGTAATTTGTCTGACCAGGGATCCAGTGCTGTCCTCA